AGATGGTCTCCTTAAGTATTTTAGAGTGAATCAGTGAATCTCGCTGTCCTCAGCACGTTTCTTCATGTATGATGATTTTCTTCAGAACTTTTTTGTTCTTTCCCATGTAAATATGTCCATATGTGTAACATATTAAAAAAAAAAAACAACAGTTGACAAAACCACAGAAAACTAAAGAGTGGCTTCTGTGCATTCTGTGCCTTTCTTTACTCTTCATGGACTTTTATTTTAGCCATCTGTAAAGTATCTTCCATTGTTTCCTCTTGTCCCTTGTAAACTACAGCTTGTAATATACCTTTGCCTTTCTGATCTTTATTTACATGCTTTTCCTGTTCCATAGTGCTGTTCCTTAATGGTTTTTTTGTTCATCTTGAACAATTTTGTGATTATCCTTTTGTTAGTATTTAAGGAGGAAGCTATTTTTGGTCTGTTACCATCCTGTCATTACAGTGGAACAGTTTGACACTGCGCCTTTCAAGCAGCAAGGTAAATTGTGTAAAAGTATTAAAGTATGCAGGTAGTATGTAGCATATGGGATGACCCTCCTTGAGGAGAATGACTTGTATGATGAAAAATTTGCATTTATTCAGTATTACACAGTATTAAAATAATTTCAATCATTTAAATTATTTCAGTATTTGTTTGCCTTCATATACAGAAATCAGACTGTAAGTAAAACCTGTTGTTAAGTATTTACATACTTATTTGTGGACAGCAGCTGCTTCTAGGCTTCTAAACTCTACACACTCAATACTATTAATACTTAAATCTTTACTGTAGAACTATTAAAGAACTTCTAGAACAGCAAGACCTCCCAAATGTAAATATTTCCTGCATTATTACGCTCTGAATGATTCTTTCACATACTAATTATGCTTAAGTAAGAGAAAAATGAATTGCAACATATCCTAATGATCACTGGGTAGGATAAGCTTGGGAAAATGGTATATTTGCCTTGCATATGACCTTTCAGTAGTTTTTCTTATTGCATGCTCCTACTAAGCTGTTCACCTTTTATACAAAGGTAGCTGCCGTGACTTGGAAAGAAGTAATTGCTCAGGAAGATCAAAATTACTTAAGGGTCTGTTTGATTTACTGAAGAAAATAGTAGGGCTTTAGTCCTGGTGAAGAGTCACTGAAGATGGTTAGTTCCTGTGTGCATAGATTTAGGAAGTTCTGCCTTAGACAGCATGTAGGTCAGGTTAGAAAAATGTCATCTGAAGTTAGGCTTTTCTATCCTTATTTTCCACTGTAGTGTATTTTATTAAATTTTATTGGAGGATTTGGAAGAGGATAGTATTTTATTTTACTTATCTGTAATGAAGTTTTCTCAGATTCACATGGGTTTGGGTTTGGAAGAAACCTTGAAGGATCATCTAGTCCAGTACCTCTGCCATGGGCAAGGACATCTTTCACTAGATCAGGCTTCTTACATTTTTCAGATACTGTAGGATTATGAGTTGTTTGCTGAAGCAACCATTTTCTGTTCGTACATCTTGCTTTTTAGTCTTGAGTTTGACTTTTTCCCCATCGTGAAAGTGAGGAATAAATGGATGTAGCCAAAGGTCTTGTGACACCCTGTGGAGTTTACATGTACATATCATTGCTAGACAGGTTCAGAGAGCTGTTTTAGTTTCAGAAATTTGTATTGGCACAACATGGTTTAAGCTGGTGAGAGTTTCTGTGGGATTGTCTGGAATTAACATTGAGCTTGGTATTTAGAAGCTACCATTATTTTTCCCTAGTACTGCCCCTTTTGTTGGAGAGAAACAGAAGCTTTGTAGTTCCTGTATCTGGCGATCTTGCTTTGCCTGTTTTTCCCTGCAGGTCGTTCAGGTGGGTCACAGTGCGGGCTGCTCGCTGGGAAAACCAGGCTCCATGCTGTCCCTAGAGGTGGTGGCTGCTGCTGCTGCCAGAGTGGCCAGGGACCCCTCTGCAGTAGGAGTGTTGTAAAAATATCAATTTGGACTTTTCTTTTGGAAAATAATCTGTAGAGAACGTTTTAGTGCATTTGCCATGAGTGAAAGGCTTTTGATGGGGGCGGAGCCATCTTTGCCAACAGTGCCTTTATTTGGAAGCTGCTATTTTTGGCCTGTTAGCTTCTGAGTCTTTTGTAACAGCAGAAGGAGGAAGTGAACAGTGAAATCACTTTAATAACATATTTCCTGGTTGAAGTGACTTATCTGAGAGGCCTAGACAGAGGGGATGTCATTTCCTGGATTACTTCTCTTCAGTTTGCAGGGACTGTTTTACTGCGCTGTCTTTTGACCCAGCTTCTTAATTGTAGTGTCATTTTCGTTAAGTAATGTAAACAAGTTCTTTTAATGAAAATGTAAAGATTTAAGGAAACACCTTTTGACAACATACTAATGTGCAAGGCAAGTCTTTCATAAACTGCAAGTTGATAGGAACTTGAGATCCCTTACCTTAAAATTATGTTCAAGAGCTTAAAATTTTGTCTTTAAGAGTATAAGGTGTGTTCACAGGGATAAAAAAAAAAAAAAAACCAAACCACTCTTGCTGTTCCTCAGGACGCTGACACTAATCACTTCTCTTTGATGCCAGCAGTAGCTGACTGTCCTCAAGAGTTAGGACACTTCCAAATAGTTAATAATAGGCAGTTGTGCTGTTCTCAAACTTCTGTTAATTAACAGCTACTTGTGAAAATTGTTACCAGAAGTCCATGAAAAGGAAGCAGAAAGAACTAATTAAAAAATTAGCTACAAATATGGTTCTCAGTTTTTATAGCCCACAAAAAAGCTGTGGAATCAGAATGACACGGGGAAAAAAACAGTGACATATGAAATGATAATATACAGCTCAGTTTGAATTGGAAGTTATGGTTGATTTTGACCTTGTAATTCAACTTGACTGAAGTGTCGTCTGGGGCTGGTAACTTTATTCTTTTCCTTGACTTTGTGTAGAAGATTTAAGCACATTATAAATGTTTTAGTTGGTCAACCTCTAAAATATCTTGTCATGAAAAGCATTAAAATATCAGGTGATGTCACCTCTCTCTTCCCCTCTGCCCCCACAAAAAAAGGAGCAACAAAAATATACTTTATTGATTTGTGTTAGCACAGAGTGCTTCTGCATTTCCCTTATAATATCTACCTTCTTGTTAGTGATCATTAAAATATTGTTTCAATAGCAGTGAAAGAAGAATGTAAAAGGAGTGATAAATAAGGTATTGGACTGTGAAGAGAGAAATAGAGTAAGAAAGTGCTCAGAGCTCTAGAGAACTAGTTTTGATTTTTGAATCTCTGCAGTAGAAACAAGAACTGTAATTAATTCAGAAAAAAAAGGTGTGTTCAGGACCAATTGTGAAATTAATTGCAGTAAGGGATTCTGAAGAGAGGACTCTCACTTTGATACTGTAAATTGATACTGTAAACTACAGACATATATTAATGCAGTTATATGCAAATATATGAATAAAAGTGTAGCTTCAAGTTGTATTTGATGTTGGATTTTAGGAGTTGTGTAGGCTACCAGGTAGTTGGAACTGAGACACTATTATGCTAGGTGAAATCACAAAAGATGGCCCAGCTGTTCTCCATCAAGGCATTCAGTATGGGCCTTTTCTGCACGTTGCAAGGTGAAGATCTGTATTCCGGCTGAGACACTGCTTCAGAGCGAGACACCCTTTTCAGCAGGCAAAACCTGGAGAAACAGTCTCAGGATTTTGTTCTTAGAGCAGCGAACAAAGCTGCCACTTCAGGGACAACACGGGACATGTTGAGTATGAGTAGAGCCTGGCTCTTCTTAGTAACAATTTTTATTTCTCCCTGTGCAACTGGAAAGGGCTTTATGTTTTGAGGAGTAATTTTAAAAGGTTTTCTAGGCTGCTGAAGGGTGGATTTAAGTCTTATAACAGGCATTTAAAATACTGTCTTTAGTTTGGATTCTGGTGATCTTGTCCTTGGCCATTTTAGGAAGTCCACGTTTTCTATGGACGCATTGATAATTGTATTTACAGTTCTGGCTTGTGTTTTATTGAGTCATTTAGAAAAAAGTAATCTAGTTTTGTGAGCTTGAATTATGTGGTGAATTGTCTTCTTAAGTTTAGGTTATGTCTTGCTTCCAGACTGTGATCAAAGCAGTAATATACAGAATACAAACAAAATTTTTCAGTATACAGGAGAAGTGTAATGGAAACAAGAAAAACAAATTGACTGAACAGGGTATCTTAAATCAGTGTTTAATGAGTAAGATTACTTACTGGTTAAGATTAAAACTACTACTGCAGCTTAAATCTCAGTGCTACGAATCAGTGGTAATGTCTCTGTACTGTTTATAGACCAACTTGGAGCCAGTCAGTGTGTGTCAGCTCTTCTGCTGGTTTATAAACGTACTTGAGAGCTTGTTTGAGTTGCCTATTATGAATGTAATGCATGCTTGAATCGTAGAGTCATAGAATGGTTTGGGCTGGACGGGACCACATAGATCCTCTAGTTCCAGTACCCTGCCAGGAGCAGGGACACCTTCCCATATACCAGATTGCTTGGAGCCCCATCTGACCTGACCTTGAACACTTCCAGGGAGCAGGCATCCACAGCGTCTCCTGGCAACATGTTCCAGTGCCTCACCACCCTCATAATAAAGATTTCTTCCTGTTATCTAATCTAAATCTGCTGTCTTTCAGTTAGAAACCATTGCCCCTCGTTCTATCCCTGCACTCCCTAATAAAGAGTCCCTCCTTGACCTTCTTGTAGGCCCCTTTAAGAGCTGGAAGGCCTGTAATCTTTAAGGTCTCCCCAGAGCTTTCTCAAGACTGATAACCCCAGCTCTCTCAGCCTGTCCTCGTAAGGGAGGTGTGCCAGCCCCCTGATCATCTTCATGGCCTCCTGTGGCCCTGCTCAAGCAGGTCCATGTCTTCCTTACACCAGGGGCCCCAGAGGTGGAATATAATCAGTCTCAGTGTATTAGTTTTAAGAAGGCTGTTAGTTAAGATTTTAGAACTCAATTTTAACTTTTTTTTCTTGTTTTCTTTTCTCCAGGATGGCTTGAATTCTTTGGTCCTTGATCTGGATTATCCAGCACTGAGGAAGAACAAGAACATCGATAATTTCCTAAATAGATGTAAGTTGCGAGTGGCTTTTAACAATGATATTGTTGTGATCTCAGTCATAGGAAACTGAGTGGTCAGAAATACACTGCTGATTTTAATTTTACTAGTTTTTATAACTGAGCTTCTATATTCAGAAGATTTCGGAAGATCATTTATTACAGAGAAGTTTCGTTTTGGGGAGTCATCGTATTGCTGAAAATATGTTGGAAAATACCAGCTGTAGATTGTAATGTTTCCAACTACAGTTGGAAAAATCCTTTTATGTTATTTTTTAATCTTAAGTATGTGCAGCGAAGTAATTTGCAAAGCATATCCCAGTTGTTATTTTTTAGGAATTAATTACTCAAAATGTCAACATTGTATATACAGTCTTATTTAATGTAACAGAGAATCCTTCTGTTGATTTTAAAAACTAAATTATTGTACCTTAAAATCTGCTGGTGCATTTCTCAACCTTTGTGTAATTGTTTGTGATTCTCCTCAAATTAATTGTATACAGGTTCATGGAGTTTATTAAGGATATGAAAATGAAAGGCTGTTACATCAGAATAGCTGTATTCTGCCTTTTAAAAGTGTTTTCTATCCATGGATATAAACAATTTTTTTTTCCTTTGTAAAAAAACTGGATTATTTGCTTTAAAATGTAAATTGTAGTGAGTGAGCCTTCTTGGAACAGCTATGCTTTGTAGTGAATGTATTTTGAGGTGTATATATATATATATATGTTTGAAAAAAATTCTATTGCCTATGTCTAGGTTACTGCAGATGCAGTCTTACCAGCAACTTCTCTTGATTCTTTGCTGGTAAAAGCTGTGTGTCCAACCCCCATTGCTCTGGGACTCCTTTGAATATCCACTCATGCTCCTCAGTTAGATGGTGTCTGGTGTAGTCATTTGTGGTGAGTTCTTATATTTGGAATTCAGTGCTTCTCCATGAGGTTTAGCAGAGCCCCATAGCTGGACATAGAGCTTTACAGTCACTGGTAAAGTCTCGTTTGGCGAAGTCACTAAAACCAGAATAAATGAGAAACAGGTGGTTCTGAAGGAGAGGCATATCTTGGTACTTTTTTCAGTTTCAGTTTGAAGGAAGCCCAGTCTACAGTAAATAGGGAGTAAATGACAGAATCAGTAACTTTTATGATTGTTCAGATTCAGCTTTATGTTCCAATGCTGTTTCTGCAGTAACACAGTATTAGAAACTTTTTTCTAATCATAAGACCGGTATCTGCTGGCTATTAAAAATAACAACTATGGGAAAACAATTCAACTTTGGAAACAGGTTTTTTCCTTTTTTTTCTGTAGCCTGAACATTCTTGCTGTCTGTTTTCCCTTTTCTGAAGGCCATCAATTCTTTTCCTACTCCTGGCTCTCTCCCATATTTGCAGTAAATATTATTAAGCATCTCACATGGCCTGCAGGCTACCAGTGATGGCAGAAACCCCAAGACATACTTCCATTCACAACTGTGTTACTGCCTTTTATTTCAAAATCAGCTGACAGTTTGCAGCTGAAATAGCCAGATACTAGTTAAAGAAAATTCCGAGATGTATTACAAAACAATTCAGGGTAGATAATGAAGAGTTTTAGGAACGCGCTTCATCCTTGCTGGTTGAACTTTTAAAAAAGTATGTAAGAGTTGTTCTGGCTCACACACTGTGAGGCTGTGCAGCTCTTTGAAGAATCACCCATGTAACTTCTCTCCTGTTTCCATACTGCCTGACAGAGAAATAAAAATAGTGCTGTATATCTCCTGTCATTTACAGTTTAAGAAAAAAAATATTTCTAAAATGAGAATTTTGTAAACATTTGAAGCTGGTAATATTTTGGCATTGCAACTAAAAGTATCAGTCCTGCCACAGAGATTTGTTTCCAAGTCCTTTCAGACACAGATGTTTGTGTGATTTGTTAGGAACCAGCTTGGGGAGGTGAACAGAATTAATTCAGAGAGCAGGGTGGGTGGGTGGTTGGTTGGTTTCTTTCTGTTACAACGAGTTGGGCAAAAGAAGAGCAAAGGCCAGTTTCTGATTTCCGTTTCGCTTCACTGATACTTGTGCCAGCATAAAGGGAGCTGCTTGAGTACAGGAAAAAAAACAGGAGGACAGTTAGGTTCTTACTGGCGTTGCCATTTTATGTGTTTTAAAGTTGCTGAACCAATAGCTTTTTTTTTCTTTTTGGAAACTGTTCTAAGGGTAGGAAGTGTCAATGCAAAGGAAGTGTGTGCATGTGCTTGCTCAAGCCTCTCCCTACCTTGGACTTGGAAGACAAGTTGGGAATTGTGTTAAGAATTTATGGAACAGTAATTGGTTTCTCTCTTCAGTTACGGAACACCGAATTCCTTTTATTTTATTTTATTTTATTTTTTCAGTATGTGAAGAGCTGTAGCAAATGCCTAGGTGAGAATATTGTCCAAAGGTTCTGACAGACTGATGAGCGCTCTGTGCCGGGGGCCTGGAGCCTACATCCTTCCTCAAGGCTTCCTGAGGCAACAGCAGAGAGGTGGCAGGGCCATCGTGTGAGTCAGCAGTGCAGAGTGAAGCAGCTGAGGCAGAGTCATTGCTTATGGTTGTTTTAATCCATATTATACTAATCTTCAAAAATGGTGGAGAACACTACAATAATCATCATGCTTTTAGTCAATTTAATCCCTTAATTCTTGCATAGCAACATGCTGCGAAAGAAATTTTCTTTTTTCTGCTGTATTCCCAGGGATTTTAATACACCCTACATCAGACCTACTGCAAGTCATTACTAATCAGGTTAATGTTTTATTAATAGCTTATTTTAATTTAAAAATGACTGAGACATTAATTGATGTTCAGCACAACTCGTAGTCTGAAGGTGAAACTCAAAATGTTTTAATTCATTTCATAAAGCTACAATTTATTAATTTGCCCTACTGTAGAGGTTTGGTATATCTTGTTCCTGTGACCACTTTGCAGTAGCAGCCTCTTCATGTGTTTAATAGGCAAGAAATTTTTTCATTGCCTGCTCTCCTTTACTATTCTGATTTCTTACCACTTTCTCCTAAGGCATTGAACCAAAGTAGAGTGCGTTTATTATAAGAGGCACATAAGTATCTCCTATAATACAACTATTCCTTTTCAGTCTTCTGTATTGCTTTAATCAACTATTACGATCCAGGTTAAATTGCTGCTTTTTTTTTTTTTTTTGAGCATTCATGGGACAGGAAAGCATGATGTAATATTTAATTCATAAAACAATAAGAGGAATTTTGTAGTCCTGAGAGCAAAACTTAGCTTGCTTATTTTAGAAAAGATTCTTGAGCTTTCCAGCATGGTATTGATGTAACAAATCTTTCCTGGTCTTTTCTTTTTCTTCTGTCATCTAGGTTATGACAACAGGTTGAGTAAACTCTTTCAAGTCACTTTTTCAGCCATCTGAGATTTGCCAAACTGTTGAATCATGTCTTAGTGGCTTGTGCCTTTGTTGGTGGTCTTCTGTGCAGGTTCTGCATAGTCTGTTAGCTGCTTTAACTTCTGGGAGCAGAGAGTTGAATAATTAAGCAACAGTTAAAAGTATTTAATGATTTATAATCTTACAATCAGGAATGGAAGGGCATGAGGAATGGATTTTGAGAAAGTCCAAACAGCAGCACAGGGAGTAGTGCCATCAACAGGCATGGTACAATCTAGAAGCCTTAACTTCCTAAGTGGATTGATGACTTCCTATGCATTATCCAGCATCAGTCAAAAATTGGAAACTTCTATTGTTAAAATGATTTGCTGATCCTTTGGAGGCTGGCAGACTTGTAGAGTGTGGTGGCAGTGGGTGTCTTTACGCAGACACAGCTCCTAGTACAGCTGTGGCACTCGTGCAGCAGCTTCGCTAACGCCCTGAATAAACTTCCTGGCTCGTTGCTTTTGCTGTTTTCCTCTCCAAGCAGACACTGCTTACTTAGAGGATTTATCTGTTAATCTTCTTGCAGAAGGAGCAGTTCTGGTTCCTTCCCTTACGTTTTGTTATGTCGCTGGAAGTTGCTGAATCATGTGCCAGCCACACAGTTACCAGCAGGAAGGTGTTACCTGGTGTGGTGCTGATGCCCACCACGAGTGTGATACTCTGCGCCCCTTACTGCCTGTTAGTGACACAGGTAACATGTCAGGTGCCAAGAGGAGTCTTCAAACTTCAGTGCACTGCAGAACTACATTGAGTTAAAGAACCAGTTGCCCCTCTGGTTTTCTCTTGGCTTCTTTAAGGCTACTCCTTGATAGACATTTGCAGTCACCTCTGCAAATTGAGCTCTGGTTCCATTCTTAATTATATTGTTCTGGTAAGAGTAGTGATGGGATTGGTATCAAAGAAGCAACTTTTCCCAGGCACAGCATGAATTAGAGCCACAGTGTTTAAAACAGAATGTCTTAGATATATAAACAAGTTACAGGTCAGTGTTATTAACCACTTTTCCATTTGGATACTTAGTAGATACAAAGCAATTCAGTTCTGCCACCAGGAGTACTTTCATTAAGTCAGGGATGTTTCCTCTGCAAGTCAGAGGGCTGCTGCTTTCTGTTTCCCTGCCTTCCACTCCTTTTGTCTGTGCAAGACAAAAAACTTCTGTCCACCTTTTCATTTCTCTGGGGGGGGAAACACTTGCTTGTCTGGAGCTACACCTTGTAGTTTCTGCTGCTTCTGCAAGGTCCCCAGCAGCTTCTGGTTCCTCACACACCTTTGACCAGATATTATGTGCTTTTTGTTTGGTTTTGGGCGGGTATGTGATTGCAGCACTTCCTGGCTGTACTTCAGTTTAACTTCTGGCTAGACTTTTGCCTAGGGCAGCAACTTTTGCCTTAGTGTTCTCCATAGCAGCATTCATGGACTGACTGTCTGGTCTGTGCAGATAAAATTGCACTCCCTTGCATTTTTATTCACCATATATGCACAGCCCAGAACTGCCCGATATATGTTCTTTTTAACTTTTAAGAAAATAGCCTGCATATGAACTTTTTTATTTCCTCAAAGAACAGAGAAGCTTGGGGTTTTTTCCTTCTC